TGATTCGAAGACTATTACGAATGAAATTTGCTGCTGATTCATGCGCGAACGCGGACGAAAATTCAGAGTCGCGCGAACGGAAAACGGACGAGCGCGAGAACGAGTAGTCGCGCGTCGCCTTTTGTATTTTTGCCATTTAATCGCGAAGGTCACGCGGCGCACGTATGCGCCAACGCGAGCAGCGCGACTCGCTACAACAGTAGTATAGGTAGGTAGGTATATAAACACGCGCGCATATACGTACATACACGGGCGCTTTAGTCGGTTAACATTGCGTAAACAGGTGGTCGCTCGCGGCACCGACTCTACTCTGCATCTGTGTGTATGTATACATATTCATGTATAAGCGCACACTCGCTTCATCATCATGCTCTAGATAACGCGCCTCTATATGTGCACGAGCAGAAAACGGAGAAAAAACTGCACGGACGCTCTCGGATGCCTGTCGCAGAAGAGAAAATTTGATGCAAAAACACGCGGCGCGTGCTCGAGACTCGACTCGTCTTTTTTTGGGCAGAAAATTCAACGAAACGACGACGTTTCTATGGAGCTGTCGCGTGGCCTGCGCGAACGTCCCGGTAAAAAAGGTATTTCTCCATCGTCTCGATATAATACCGCGAACGGAGCGAAGCGACTCGCACGTGCCCGCAGCTCGCTCGGAGCTTTGGCAAATCGAGTTGCGAGTGGCATTTTCGAGTCTAAATTTATAATGAGAAATTCATTAATAGAATAAGAGAGCGCAATTGAAAAGAGAATATGGCTATAATTATTTAATCTGGAAATAGCTCTCGGTAAGTCGGTACAGTGCAGCGAAATTGCAGACGAGCAGCTGTGCCTTGCTTGGCTACTTTGCGCGACGCCTATAGCTGCCCAGTGTCGCACAAAACGGTCCAACGAATCATGATCCGACGAAAAATATAAATCGCGCGAGTCCCATCGAACCGCAGACTCGAGTAAAAGAGAGACGAAAAAAAAACACGTTTTTCGCGTAATTAAACGAGTTTACGCGTACGCTACACAAATCAGCAGTAAATATTCGCCGTGATAGCACGGGTTACAGGTTACAGTAAGAAAGTAAATAAATAAAATAAATAATCAAGCATAAGCTGGACACTCACTCCACGTAAACAACCGATTAATGGCATTTTAGTCGCTTAAACTGTCGCACTAGCAGTACAACTTACATAAGGCCGTGTCCGCGTAGTCGGCACAGCGTTTCGTTCTCTCTTGATTCTCTAGCGTATAAAAGAGGCAAAAAATCAGGTGAAACGATCGCAGCTCAAGACCTTTGCTTTTGGCCAGTCGCTGTTATTGTTGTATACGGATGCCGCTCGTGCCCTGTCGTACGTTATCTGCTATTCGGCCGATAAATCCGTTGGGCATTCGACGACGCGCTCGCACGCGCGCACATACATAATCGGGCGTTTACATACACTCGATCACGATGTCGCGAGGCATAAAATTACAGCACCGGGACAATGATAGCGGCACTGCGAATCGACACACGTCTGCGCGACGTTGCTACGCAGGCCGATGTCCACTCTATCGAGCTGTGTCCAAGTCGACGACCCGAAATCTTTCTGCTCCAAAGCATGAAACGTCGTGGCGCAGACGTTAAGTGTCCGTCTTATATTATGTACGTCCAGAACAGCACTGTGGCAGCAACAACACACACGGGTCAACACTTACACGTGGCTTCACTCGTGTACATACAGGGGAAAACACTTGCTCGTGTCTCACCTGTATCCCAAATGCACACACCGACACTTTTTTTTCACCACTGAACCACCTATACTTCGGAGTGCTCCGAAACGTCGTCTCGGATGCGGATGTATCACAATCAGCACAGGGAACACAATACACATTACACACTAGCACTTTGCACGCACGCACTGAAGTTGGTCGCACACGCGGCCCGATCAGCAGCCAACTCGTTGAGAGCTCGTGCCAATCAGAGTTCAAACATCGAGCGTGATGACTCGCGACTGTTGTCGTACATAACAATACATACATACATATGTACGAGTACCTATAATAAGTATATAAACACGAATCGTGGTGCGTGCGTGAGAAAAAGCGGAGTCGCGCCGCTCGCGCTCTATAAGACCAGTGGCACGGCCGTCTTTGCTAGTACTGACCCAATACATTAACACGCTGTGCGCACAGCGGAGCCGAGTCAGAATTGAGAAGAGAGGATTAGGAGAGAGCGAGGGAAGGGGGAGAGGAGGGGGAGCCACTCGAGCTGTGTACATGTATATATGTGTTAGCAGCAGCGAGTCGCATGTGTCGCGCGTATACTCCGAGAAAGCACGAGAGCTCGTCTTCCTTTCCCCTCCACCCCCGTCTCACCATCTCGCTCCGTTTCTCTCTCGTGCAGCGCAGCGTACAATAGCCAACCCGAAAGCGTGTGCAGCTCTCGCTGCACCACCGTTTGCAACGCGTCGTCTGTCTGTCTGTCTGTTTATGCGCTATATTGACACACGCACACTCTGGGCTTTCTTCCGGTCTGGTACCGAGGCTCTGGCCCTTGCACGGATAAATTTCTGCCTCTATATCTCACTCGTTCGGTGAGCCCAGTAGCCGACAACTTCCGGTTTTGCTTTCAGATAAACCCCTCAGGCCCCTCTCGCCTGCTTTTGGAGCGTTAAAAAAGTTCGAGGTGACTGCTACTCGCATGTTGTGATAATTCACCGTTACCACCACCTCGATATACAAGTATATTATTCCAGATGATATTATCGAAGAGGTCGAGCACAATTTGACAGCTCGAATAATCACTGCCGATACTCGCGTTACACGCGTGCTCTCGTTTTTTCTGCAATATTTCATCCGTCTTTCTCTCTTGCACTCGTTTCATAACACGCGACGACGTCGAGTCGACTTGTTGCTCAGCCGCGCATGCTAATTCGAGACTCGTGTTGCTGCTGATCGTGCTCCTGACGCAGTTGCAGTGCGTGTACACAATTTTTACTTTATTGTTTTCCGCCTGCGTGAATGAACTTGAAGAGTTGAGACGTGAGCCTTCAAGATCACGTCCATTTTCTATTACTTCTTCGTTGCTTCGTAATGTATACATGCATATACTGCACTGCACGACTGAACGATATCGTACCATTTCATATGTGGACGAGTTTTTATTTATCTTCCATCTAGCTGATCGACGTAATGTAACGCTTACACGTGTGCGCGCTTCATTGTTGTCGTTGGGCCCCCTGCAGTTCTTTGACACATTTATTCAAATGTCTCGCCTCGATTCACCAGTCGGTCGAATTTGAAATATCAGAGCAGCCAGAGCGCGCTGACATTTCGATAAATTCGACGACGCGAGCAAAAATAATCACTCTCAGAAAGCCCCGTGCTTCTGCCGACGAGAATTTTCGTAAACACACGTGAGCTGCGTAAACGCTTCAATTTTGGTCGATGATGATACGAGCTTCGTCGCTTGCACAATCCCTCTCGCTTTTTGACACTCCATCGTTCTCGCTCGCTCGTTAAAATAAAATGAGAAATCAAACAATTAGGACTGCCTCGGTACTCGATATTTGCAACGATGACGCGCGATCGAGGAGGAAAGAATTGCCAAAAAATACTCTCGAGAGCGCAAACTTAGATTTGATCGACCTGCGAAATGAATAGCTTTATTATCGTGACTAATCGATCGGAAAAATAGACCACACGCGGCAACTTAGCAGTAGCAACAGTAGTAGCAGCTGATGACGATACAAATGTCATGATGTGCTTGTGTGCGTGTGTATGTGTGTCTATATAGTGTAGACATACACAGGAAAATGCAAAGATTAGTCATGTCTAACCTCGGCGTCACCGAGCAGGGTCCATTGAAAGTCGAGCATCTGCTTGGGCTGCTTCAACTCCAATGATCCAGATAGCCAGGAGTGCATTATTATCGATGCTGGTGGGCCGCGCGCTTGCAAAAGATTATATGCACGACCAACCAAACCCGGATCTGCACGATTTCAACCAATTGCTCGTGCTCTGAATTGTTTACTTTTTTTTTCGTGCTTGCGTGTACACTTATGTCTGTCGCGTGACTCGTGTATACACTCTAGGTACATACATAAGTACAACGAGTACCGATTGACGTTGGTCGATGGTCGTTGCGTATTTGTTTGCTCATTTTATAAACACACGACTGATTGTTTAACTCGTTAAACATTATACCGCCTACCTAACATGGTATGTCAAATCGCTCATTTTCAAGAAAATACCTATTACATTTTAAACCTAAGATCGTTTACGCCCCGTTCTTCATCGAATATGTATGGAACGATCAATCGCTGTTTGAAGCGATTACGTTCTCTTTTATCGTTCGAGATAAATAATCCACGCGTAATTATAATTAATCGTCCGAGCGCATCTTTTTAATCGTAACGGGTTATTTAACTGATAAAAATAAAACGCAGAGAGAATTTGAGTAAAAATCATGGTATATGACGTCTATTTATAAGAATTAGGTAATAGTAGAAACACAGTGAACAGCAAGAAATTCTTTTTCATTTCAGTTGACACAACACACATATGAATCTTTGATAAAACAATCTCATGGTTTTCAAGGGTGCACCGACATTAATGATGTAATTTTGACCAGTCTTTTGCAACGGTATTTTGCAACTAAGAGTAAAGCCAGCATGGAAAGAATTCATCAGTACCAAAATAGAACTTCCCAATCTTAAAAATGACTTGACTTGAATATATAACTTAACTATGAAAAAGTCAAGATGTGTCTATTGTTTTTACTCTAGGAATTTTTCCAAGAAAATTTATCACCTAAAGACTCGATCGATGTAGCCCTAATTTTAAAAAATGGGATTCTCCTATTTGAATGTCTTTTGACAAAACTCCAAAAAACCAGAATCAATTCTGTAATGTGGTAACTTAAAAATCAGTTACGTTTTTTTAAATAATGCTTTGGTTGAAACAATAACGCCATTGAATCTCAAAAAGTAACATATTTTTCATGTGTAAATAAAATAATAACTCACCATTTTCACCATCGCCAAGTGGGCTCAATTCATCTTCACCTCTTTTACTCCGATCATCTGAAAAATGAAATGAAAAGTAAACGTGAGTTGATATTGACGAGTAAAAAGTACTAAAAAGATAACAGAAAATAACAATTCTTACTATGATGCATTTGATTTTGATGATGCGATGGTGGTTTTTTCTCCGGACGAATTCGTTCCATCAGTTTACTTATTCGGTCATTGCCCTTTTCTTTTCTGACCAAAGGACCAGGACAACTTTCGTCAACGATACGTACACATTGTCGATGTACATTTAATTGACAGTCTGTTGTAAAATAATTATACATTATAATAAAATTTTCATTTCATCTTCAAATCAAGCAAAACGAAAAAATACTAACTTCCACATTGATAACCTTGAGGACCTATTCCACCAATAATGAATTGACAGTGATTACAATACGTGACCGTGAAGTACTGGTGGGCAACAAAGTGATGACCTTTTAAAGCCATTTTCCTTGCTTTTGCATTGCTCAATCTAGCCTTAATGTTAGATTTATCTTTTGCAACGAATGTTGGGACGCGATCCACAGACCCAGGTCGTACATTAAATACTTTTGTCAAGACTGTAGCTAAACTGCAAGCGGTAATGAATTTGCGTTGATCGACATTCTGATCAATATTTTCTTTTTCGATATCCTCACTGTTAAGAAAAAGGAATATTTTAGTCATTTGATATCTATATAATTATAATTACAATTTATGGTAGGTTTAGTACATACGAATACGTATCCATTTTTGGTACAAGAAATTTTTCAATAATTTCTATTTCTTTACGCTTGTCAGTCGAACTTTCATCGAGTAATGCATCCTTTGGACCAAACAACATTCCTAAACCAGCAGTTCTTTTGAGTTGAAAATCGGCTAATTGCTCATTAAGCTCCTCTTTAGCTCTAACTCTAGCTTTCCAGAATATCTGTAAATCATAATGTTTTTTATCAATATTGAACGGCACTATTTATTTACTTATTTTTTGTAATAACAAAAGTGAATTCTTCATACTTTTCGGAGAATTTCTTCTTTGTCAGATTCTTTCAATAACACGTCATCAATCTCACGAGCGACATTTTCGTCTACATTGTTTAGACGTAGAGGCTGCAAATAATTTAAAGTTGTTCATGAATGCTAAACGTTAACAAAATTGAAAAAATAGACACAAATTTTACTTACAGCTCCAGGAACAAGAAAACTTGAATGAATTTCATATGCCCACTTCCGCATCTCTTTTGCATTGCCCTCTTTGTATTGGTCGGTTATGAGATAAAATAGCTGAAATTAAATTTGTTCATGTAACTTCTTGATAATTTTTAAAGCTACCTGACATGAAATGAAGAAATAAGGGAAAATTTACCAGACTAGAGGGATCCCAGTTGGAAAGAACATAATTCATAAATACAGCCAGATGAGCGTGATGTTTCCATAATTTAGAGAGTGATTTAAATGGGCCATGGTCCTCCAATTGTCCCTGTGGAAAATTCGAAAATGTACTCAGCGTTGAACTTTTATCACTTAGCCAGAAGAATGATCAGAGAAGATGTTTCCGAGAATAAATTACAGTTTGTATTTTTATCTTACGACGTTAAGCAAAAATGATGAACAATTATTTCTGTTTACAAGAAGTTAAACGCAATGCGTAATATATCTATACGTTCGGTCTATTACTATATATACTTACAACTTCTTGATCGCTCATATCGTCATCTTCCATTGACATGATTGGCTGTTGAATCATTCCCAAACCGGGAGTACTAGCATCTAGTGAACTTTGCATCGATCTTGATGAGGAAGTCATGGTAAAATTGTCCGTAATACCCTAAATGAAATGCATTTTTTAATTAAAAAATATAATAAAATATCAAAAATTTTGATCGCACATTTTAGCTTTGGTATCCTTCAAGTGTCTTTTTTGGATCTACTCAAAGCCCGTACGATTAATTGCGGAGCGATACAATTATGGGTACATCAAGTTATTCAAAATATCATTGATTTTTCTTCGTTGATATTTATCGCAATTACACTCGAAATTTTTTGCCTTGCCTCGCGTTTGTATAAGAACAGAGGTATTCTACGAATAACTTTTTATATCGATTGGTATTTATAGAACGAATCGGCTGCCGTACGTATAATGTCCCGTTAGGAGTGCGAAAAACGCGCATATATTAAATCCATTCGCGGATTTTTCTCTTGACACTGCACCACACACTTTAGACATCAAGTAATCGTAAAGGAGCACGATTAAATGCACACGTACCTCGTTAAGCGTAGATGACGAAACGTCGGCGAGAATCGGTGCGGGATATGGCGGCGGAGGAGTCCCGGGCGGTGTGCGAAAACCACTACCTCCGCAACACGGGTCGTCGAGATCGATGCCACTGTGTCGATGATGGTAGTGCTGATGCTGCTGATGATGGTAATGATGCTGCTGCTGATGGTGGCCCACCGAGTGCTGATGCGTCAACGGCGACGTCGGCGTTCTGCTCTGCCCGACGGCTAATTCACCCATGGACTCCGACGCGATGAGGCGCCGACTCGCTTCGGCTGGCGATACATTGCCCAATTGTTCGGGTGACGACTTGGCTCGCTGATGCTTTCCGCTCAACGGTGACGAGGTCGCCGCTTGTGTGAACTGTGTGTGAACATGAAATAGAAAAAGATAATGTAATAACTATTTTTAGCGTTACAAGCGCGCGCCCACTGCCGCAGACTAGTAGATTTTCGGAAAATTGTTCGAATCAAATATCAATCGTGCTATTTGGATAAAGATATCGATCATTACCGAGATGGCTATATTATTCAGCGAGAGTTGGATATTGTTCAAGTTAGAGAACATCTCGAAAAAGTTTTTTTAAAACATCTCCGACCGAAGTTGAAATTAAACTGGTATGAAAAATCTGCCGTGCGTTTATATTGTAAGTGACTCTCATTAACGATTTCGACAGAGACCGATAAAAATCGCGACTTTATCTTTTCGAAAGTCTAGCACAAAATATTGATAGCAACATTTTTGCGAGTTCAATAAAATATGCGCGAACAATCGTCCAGTTGGACAAGACTAATTATGTTTTTTTTTCACACCAAGTAGATCGATTAATTTTTTGAAAAATGAATGAATTATTCGTTAGCTACAGTTGTTAATAATCAATTCAGGTATATAATACATTTAGAAGAAGATTATTATTAATGAACACAAATCAATCGAAAAAATTACTAAAAATACGTAAGAGTAACCTTGAACTGAGTGAAGTAATTCATTGCGACCAAAAGAAATTTCATGCATTAAAATAGTAATTGAGTTCTTGTATCCAGACAAAGTAGTCAATCTTTAAGTCACAGTATTACCAAGTCATATTTTGAATATTCCTATTTTGACAGTTTCTTTAGCGGACATGATTTTATCTGTATAATCGTGCGCACCAAAACAATGCCCATGATAAACTTTTTATGTACAAAGTTAAAGATTTAGGTGATTTTTTTACTTAAAAAACTAGTTAACCAAATATAAATTATGACTCTTAATGATAGCCGCGTACGAATAAGTTGTGCGTTAAAAACTGACCAATAATTTACAAGATGGTGATGGCTTATACTATTTTCTACTATTTAAGGAACAGAAATATCTTTCCTTCGTCGCAATGAATTTTTTTTTCATACAGTAAAAATAAATAGATGAATAACACCTTAAGGATTGGCCAATCCCATGTTTTATTGGTGAGATAATAGTTGAACATATCTATTTTAACTATCACGAAAGATAAAATTTTATACAAAAATTATGAATTTAAGAAAGTGTAGGAGTATACTTGTTTGAGGTATAAACAATTCATGTACATATGAACAATTAATAAGCATAAGTAATGTCTATAGTGACATTTTTTAAATACCAAAAATGACACGATCCATCTTTTTTTTTGGTTTGTTTACTTACAAAATTATGCGAACCAGTAGCAGTCGTTAAGTATGATCTCCCCTGATCAAACACCATGTGCGACGAGTTTATACTAGAGCTCAATGAGTTATTGGGAGACGGTCGCGGTGGCAAGGGTGGCGGAGATTGACTCAGCGTGGATAAGGACTTGCGGGAGGGCAGCGGCGGTGGTGTCTCAGAATCGCAACAACTACCGCCGCCGCTGCTCAGACTACTGTTGTGCGAGCTTACCATAGCGCAAAGCTGTAAATGATGGCGACGGCGACGACGAACGAAGACAAAGTAACAAAAAACAAAAAAAATGTTCGATCAAAACAATAACAACAACAACAACACAATAACAAACAAAGCTAGCCGCTGTTTTTGGGCTGATTGTCTCATGTTATTTTCATGTCTTTTTGTATGATGCGCAAAGAATGAATGAACTTTGCGAAGTTTATGGTTTTGACAATATGATGACAATCATATGGATTATTGTCTGCTTGTAGTGCTTTTTACTTTAAAAGTAAAGTGAGTGAATAAGCATGCGAAATAAATGTACATGTGCTAACAAGACAATTTACAGTCAAAATCATAAACTTTAAACATAGATATTGAAAGAAAGTTTAACTTGAACATTGATAAACTGCTGTTGTATATGCGATCAGTTCTGAAGGTTTTTGATTTTATATACTATCTTTATAGTTTAAAAAAATAAATGTGCTTTCATGAATTTTTATTTTTAAGTGTTGTAAATGTTATGTATAGTAATTTAAGATAATGTGTATTGTTACTTTATAGTTTTAGTATTAATTCCTTTAAAGTATATAACAACCTTTATTATCACTTATGCATGGTTAATTAAAAGAGTTTTCAACCCATTACAAACAAAACTGATCACTGCAAAAACTTAAGCTTAGATGCTGATATATACATCAAAGATAAGCATGAAAATGAAATATATTAATTGTTCATACCTGACGATCTAAAGGCTCCTGCAATTTTTTCAATCGACGTTCTGCTGTTGATAATTCTGCTTGTTTGGCTACTATGTTATTAGCATTACCAGAATTTGCTTGGCTAGCCAGTTTGGCAAGTTCACTGCGAAGCTTGTCAACATTACTTTGTTCAACTTCCAACATTAATTGTAGAGTCTTTACACGCTCCGCATCTAATTGTCTTCTTTTTTCCAACTGTTGCATAATGATGAAATCAATTATGATATTCTTTTTATTTGTATAAATGCAATAAAAATATTAATATTTACATCAACAGGTTGTGGACCAGTTATTCTTTCTGTACATGTTGGCCCAGTTGAAACTCTGTGTTGTAAAGTTACTGCTGAAGATGGAATAGTATTAGAATTGGTTGATAAGCTAGTTGGGCGGTGATGCTGTGATGAGGAGAAACCAGAAGACATATTGTGTGATTTTTGTTGCACAGTCAAGACTACTTGCACAGATGCTGAATAAAAATTTAAAAATTAACATATATTTTATCAATACAATAACATTCATTAACATTATTCAGTTCTTAAATATTCAAAAGGAAAATATAATAAAAATATTCTCATTGATAATTAATAATTTTTTTTGCAATTCATAATTTTAACAACAAAAAATGTTTGAATTAAAAAAGTAATAGAATATGTTTGAATTGAGTGCTTTAATGAACTAATCAATAACAATCTTGTTATTTTTAAGGAATTCAAATTCAATGAAAATGCCATTAGTAAAATTTTGCGACATAAAAGTATACTCAACTAACATTTGATAAGTTCGACCACTTGTGTATGGGTAGACTGCGTCACATTAACTCCGTTTACCTGAAAAAAATAATTCGATATATTAAAAGATAATTATTAACATTCATAAAAATACATATAAATAAAAACTATTTTAATTTACTTCTTCAAGATTTTGTGAAAAATACTCAGTGCAAATAAAGTATTATTTATGGTATGAGGAAAATATAGATTACATGAAAAATAAATCAAATAATTCTATGTCATTGCAAACTAACAATGAGTGGTTTTATAGATTTATAAGCTCTCAGAGCATAATTTTTGGTCATAATCTTGGAGTAAAATTTTTTGTTATTTTCATGTTACTTATGATTCTTTTTTTAATCAATAATATTTTTTTTTATGTTGCATTTAATAAAAATTATTATGAAATATTTTTATTTTTAATAAAAAAAAAGTAATTATTTCAAAAATACTAATATTTATTGATGTTTATTGAAAGAATATGTAAGACAAGAGCGAATCTTTTGGTATCAACAGAACTGATGTATACTAACTTATTTCATTAATTCTTTCATGATGATCAAATAAAATCTTTTATTCATCATTCTGATACAAATTTATATTCAAATTAATGGATAATAAATGTATTTTTATGTAAAAGAAATTAACATTCAAGTTTTATTCTGAGTAAATTTTGGATCCATAACTTTTTTATCTAATTTAACAAATGCAACCCACCTTGATGATTTTGTCACCTGGGCTTAAGCCAGCTCTTGCTGCTGCACCACCTACGCAAAAAATGTAATTGTTTATTTTGATGATTTTTGAATTTAAAATATAGTTTAATTTTAAATGAGCCAAGATATTTTGAAATGTAATTTATAAAATGTTACAAGTCAGAATTTAATTTACCTTCTTTAACAGATTGAACATAAACTGGATTGTCACCAGAAACTTTCATCCCATATCCAGCTTCATCTTTATAAACAACCAATGTGGCGACTGGAGGTGTTTCGGTGATTCCGCCACCAACGCAATGCAGTGCTATTGTTCCATTCATCCCTTCTACAGGCTATTAAAAGCCTAATAAAATTGTAATACTCCTAACACTGCCTGGTTGGATAACTAGCTTGAAAGATACACAAACAAAAGTTAGTGACCTTGTATATTCTGACTCTTGATACTATGAAAAATGTAAATATCATTCTTTATTCAACTTATAAAATGGAATGGTCGTAGTTAGAAAAAATTCATTGCCAATTTGTACTAGCTAACTTGTCAGATTGAAACCATTTACTCAGATACTAATTTGATACTCAGTTGTATGATAAATGCAAATTAGTAACCAGTTGCATATCTGAAAAATTCCACTTTCAACAGGATGATTCTAATTGTTATCAATGGATGTAATTAAATTTGATTAAATTAATATCTAAAATGAATGTTATTTTAGCTAGTACAATGAGAGAAAAGTCAAGTTTTAGCATGGGAAGCCAAGTGATTCATACATCTCATTTCCATTCATATATAATCAAGTCAAAAGTATATAGAACACTGTCAATGACAGAATTCCAATTTTTGTCATGTAACTGATAGTAATGGATAAATGAGAAATGATTTTGTGACGGGCAAACGTATTCTCATAAGCATTTTGACAACTAATAATAATCATAGGATCAGCAGCAACACCCACGCAGCCTCTCTCGAGTCATAGAGTATAAAATCTCGAGAGTTGTGGCATTCTTTGGGACGTTGACACGCTGACCAACTATAGTTGGATCGAGGAGTACAATACGAGGATTCACTGTGAGCACGTAAAAAGAGGAAAAAACAACATTACATACATAGAGGCTCACCTGCAGCAGGATTTTGCATCATTGCATCGGACTGCATGCACACGACGTGGAATCGGACGTGAGAATCCGCTTTCGCCTCGCGAGTTATTCTTTCTATTCGGAAGCGCGAAGAACGACGACTCCACCTCGACGAGCAGTCGTATTACAAATCCTCATGATCTTTGGTAAAATGTATGTATAAAAGTCGCTCTCTCGAGCTCGTCTCTCTTTCTTTCTCTCACTCTTTCTCGGCTGCTGCCTTTCAGGGTTTATAGGCGCAATGACGAGGCGATCCTCGTCATAACAAAAGGAGAAGCTGTTGCGGATAGCTGGTCGCGGCTGCTGCTGCTGCTGCTGCTTGCTTGCTTGCCTCGCTTTGCTGCTGAAGCGTATATGTATACATATATAGATGTGTGTATACGCGAGAAGTGTACACACACGTACATATATATGTAAGCGAGAGAGCCGAGAGCAGCGAGTCAGTCTCTCTGTGTGCGTTAATGTGTGTATGTGTGTCTATATACGCAAGTAAAGAGCGAGAAAGAGCGACTGCGAGCTGCGAGCCTCCGCCTCTCTTTCTCTTTCTTTTTCGTAAGCTTCTTTTTCCAGGCACGTTATATGTTTTACGTGCACGGGCACAGCACAGCCACAACACACAGACCGAAACACAGAGAGAGACGCAGAGCCGTTGAAGGTATATTAGAGAATTTCGGTGAAAACGGCCAAGACAAGACGTAGACGTCGAGGCTCGGAGATGACTGTGCGCTGCGACGAGATCCGTACGTAGGAGCAGGCAGGCAGGCAGGTTCAGCTCGGCACGAAAGTACAGCAACAACTATTTTTCTATATGTATATGATACGCCCGAACGCACGATGACTATCAGCTCGCCTACATCAGCAGTATATATATAATACACTTTAGTTTATATATATAATACTACATTACACACACACACACACACATCGGCTACATGTACGAATGTATTTACACTATGTACAAGACACACTAGGGCGCACTGACACTTGGCAGCATGTAGTGGAGGCAGGAAGGAGCACAACAATATTTTGACACGTACTTTCGCAATTTTCGTGAATTCACAGGCCGTGACGACGATACTGCAGTACACTCACAACGCACACTGGATGCGTAAACGTATATTATAGACGAAAGAGGTGTACGCGCGAGCGCGCCCGTATGTGCGAGTGTGTGTTACAGTGCAACATGCACGAAAGGCAGCTCCCGAGTCTCGGAGCACAGACACACGGCCGAGGAGAAGCAGAGAAGCACGCACACATGGACACACTTGGTCGGAGTTACGATGCACTGTACGCGGTGTACGAGAGGTAAAAAATGCATTCGGCTGTCATCGACGATGCACTGGCGATACTTTGTATCGTCTTTTGTTTTGCACGACGACACTCGCTTTTTTATGAAATCCAAGTGGTGCAGGCAGGTGTGTGCATCAACAGCCCTACGATTGTTTTGTATACATAAGCATATAAAATATTGGTTGAGCGAGGCACGCGCGCAGGCGAGCAAGAGCTGCCTCGGTCAGTGCAGCAGTCAACAGGCAAGAAGCCGCGAAGAATGCAAGTATATGTATGAGAGCAAGCGAACGACGACGACGAGCAACGAGCGATTCGTAATTGTCGCGCTATATACGCGCTCAGTAGGATAGGTATATAACGGCGCTCCTCGACCTCGCAGTTGTGTATGCCTACTGCTCTCGCTGCTCTGCTGCTTAAACAGCCTGACTTACTATTGCACACACACGTACGCGGTACACGAACACAGCGAGCCGCGGCGGACGAGCAGCAGCTCGCACACGAGAATACAGATACACGTATGTATGTAGGAGTCGCGCGAACTAGTAATCCTAATTCTGAATGCACTTGGACGAGGCGTGGACTCGTTATTTCTTCTTCTGTTGCTTGGGCTCCGCACTCGAGGATTTCTTATACCAAGGCCACTGCGTTTTTATTATTTATTATCTGTCTACTGTCTATGGGTACAGGGCATAAGATGCATTTTTAAAAATCGTGCACATTGTGCAGTGAGCTGCTGCTGCTGCTACGGGCGTCGACTCATTCCGTACGTCGCTATCTGTATATCAGCATCGCGTTCGAAACACTACCACACTGCAAAACTGTAATTTTATTTCTCGGTCTCTGTTTATTAGCGCGATGTGCATAGCATGTGTATACACGACAGCGACTGACTGCCGCGCGCTTAATATACAAACGCATACATGTTACACATGCACGTATTTATAATGCACACACATATATAAATCTGCAGACGTCCACGTCGCATATAAGTACGGACTCGACTTCTAGTCTACGGAGAAGTCGGAGCTGTAATGCGCTCAAATACGCATTACACACATGCAGCAGTCTTAATATGTACACCATGAGACGTTTAATTCTGCTCAACAGCTCGAAATGTAAACAGAGCGAGGTAGGGGCTCTCTATATACTGGCCCGTAGGCTATTGTTATGATTTCCGCTGCCAATTAACGCAGAGAGTCGCCCTTGCTACGCTAAATTTAAGTTTCAAGTTGTCAGAAAAAAAATTAAACTCCTTTTGATAACGTCGTATGTGTGCATACAGAGCTATAGCGCAGACTTGTATACTAGCTATACATTAATCTCTCGTCAGTCGCTGCTGCTGCTGCTTTGCCGTTAGTCGTGTAGCGCAATATATGAATGTGCAGCAGCACTCACAAGCGCAAAAGCCAGGCTCGAGTCTCAAGTCCGCCTATATCATACTTGCGATGCGATTCGCATAATAGTCTCGCGTACAACATTCGATATTTCGTGTCTATAACTAACATACACGCATGCATAGAGCGAGTAAGAGAGAGAGAGAGAGAGAATAGCTGGTCTGTGTGTGCGACTGTGCGTTCATTTGTAGAAAGCGGCAGCATAACTCGAGAGCAAAAGAGAGAGAGAGAGAGAAGAGAAAAGACGACGATCGCGAGTTTGCCTAGTGCTTCCTCCCTCTCCCTCCCTCGCTCGCCCGCACACATATTCGCAATCCACACACATGTTCAGCCTCTCTCTCTCTCTTCTTTGGTTCTCCGCGTGCAGCTACTCGCGGTGTAGGCTCTTGTGCGTGAACGTATCTCGTTCTTTTATCGGCAATCGCTATGCCGTATCTCTGTTGCTGCAGCTGCATATACATATATTATACGCGAGTCCTATCTTTCGAGCGATGAAAATGCCCCGCGCTATATATCGCGTAGAATCCGCGACTCTGCGCTGCTGCGAGTGACGAATCCGCAGTCCGCAGGAGCGATACCGCGTTACCGCGTATAGCACAGTGTGTCTGTGCTATGTGTGTGTGTACATAATAAATGCAATGTATAGGTATGTGTGTTGTGTTGCATGTATCCACTACATACGTACACGAATAGAGTACGTGGGAGGGCGGACGTTGACGCGCGCCAACGCTGCCGGAAGATAAACATTAAGCGAATCGCAGCCGTCGCCATCTTAGCTGGAGCCAGGAGCTCTATACAACAATCCGCACGAGATTTTACCACATCTCGCGAGCGTTAAAGCTCGCTATCCTCGACTCGGTCTATCCTTCCTAATTAATATCGACGCAATGTAGTTTGAAAAAAGTCTCTCGCTGCTCCGGCCTGCTGCCGCTGAACGTTCAAATGCATGCCTTGTGTGTACGACTGGCCGAGCACGCATAAATACGCTGCTGGCTGCACCACCTCTATACTGCAGCAGGCAGCGCGCAACGGCTCGGAACCGCAACTATACACTTATAACTCGCGAGTGAGTCGCGAATCGCGATAAGCGCGCGAGCCTCGAATGCAGCCGCAGCACCTTCCGGAGCTCGCTGTAGTGGTGCGCCTACCTACTACGCGATTTTCGCTCGCACGCGACGCGCTCGTCGGTCCCAAGAACGCGAGCCAACTTAACTCGCTCGAGCCGCATAATGCGCCAAAACTTATGTAAACACGACGAGCGAAAAAAAAAGAAAGCACACCTACACTGGCATACAGGCAGCTGCTCGAGGATCGAATCGGCGTTACCCGAAGCTCTCTATACCTATACCCATACACCGGCAAGTACATAACGGCAGCATCTAAAATTTTATCGCCGCGAGTGCTGCCTTTACGATAACGTTCGCAACTCTGCCTCTCGAAACCATTCTATTGTACACTCTTTTACCTCGGCAACCCGACCACTTTATTTTCATTGTTTATATTAATCTTCCGGTCGTATATTTATAAATAGTGACCGACTGCTAGCTGCGCGCGCGATTCTTCGATGAATGTAAGCCAGGGACTTTTCGGAGCTCGCACGCGTCTAATCAACGACTAATGGCCAATTTTACTCGTTCGAAGCTGTTGCGCTTGAGAACGCGACTAGGATATTTCTTCAACGCGCTCCTGTGAACATTATTTCTTGGAAACATTTCACTCACATTATTCATCGTACGTTAATCATGCTTTGATTTTTTACTTCGATCTGCGCAGCTATTCCATTCATTGATTTTAATGCACGAATGGAGCTTTTTGAGCTTTTTTTCTACTATCGTGACGTTAAATACTCATGCGGGTATTCATGCTTTTCATTATGATAAACGATAAACGATTTCATTTTATTGTTTTTTTTACGCAGTTTTACCTAACGATATTTACCTTTTTGAAATAGTTGCGGCTGTTTTTATGTATACGTGTTTTACATTTTGACATAACCGCCCACGTGTATACGTTGGCAAATTCGCGTGCCTCGAGTACGCCAACGGCTATATAAACATGACGATGAGCGTGTGCAGGACGCAGGTGTGCTCCAACGACAGCTCTCGATCAGGCGCACGACGCAGTTTATCACTGCTGACTGCTCTGCAAATAATGGCGGCTGCTAGACTGGCAATGTTGTGTTTTCGTTCGCTCATACGTTTTTCCGACCGTGAGCTCGTTCGTTGAATCGTCGAATCATCGGATAATCAACCAAGCTTCCTTTTAACGACCGACTGCCACCGATCGCCACGATGGTGAGTATTTTTCCTCTTTACAACTCCAAAGTCCGTTGGTTCTCGACGATCGCTTACATAACCTCCGAAATATGACAGCATTGTGTTATTGGTTCTTTAGGCTTATCGCCAAAGTTTGATTCAAAACACTCCTACGCAGTTCATATTTTTCTCCCTATAGACTTTTAGATGCTTACAGTTTTTTCCATTCGATGGTTTTAACGCGATCTGATCATTTTCCATATGAAAATTTACAATAAGAATTTGTTCATTTACAGTATAATTATTTTATCGAATTCTTTATGGATAAATAAAAGTTGAGCGATTGATTGCATTATTTTTTTAACATTTTAGAGTTCCACTACTGCTTTGGATGACCCAGCTGCCGAAAAAGATGATTCCTCTTCCTTACAAAGTCCAGATGCACTGAAAACTTTTCGTGAAGAATGGAAAAGAGAATTACAATCATCGCCGAAACATGTTCAAAATCAAAAAAGTCAGTCTCACGATTCGGTTCAAAAAGACGAAGATATTCACGAAAAATTGCAAGATCTTTTAGAAGACACTGCAAAAGAAGCTCAAGTACTTTTAGTTTTCATCAACTTTTTATATGGTATTGTTGATATGATTTTTAAAAGCTGTTAATATTTTTTTTTAGGCTAAGAAGTTATTCTTATTAGGAGTCGAACATGAAAGAACTGGAAAACTTTATGAAGCCATACAATTTTATCGTAGAGCAGTACAATTGGTACCAGATATAGAATTTCGCATATATGAATCCACAAAACCTAAACCTAGAGAAGAAATTGAGCCAGAAAAGCAGGTATCTTCTGAAATAATAAAATGTGATAGAAAATCATTGGAAACACAAGATGATAGTAATATTTTTGAAAAATTTTCTAATGACGTTGAAAAAACTGGTCAGGTGTGCCTTTTAAATAATGAACAAGAGGTAATTTCAATTTTATTTTATTTAAAACTTTCATAGCAATTACAAAATTTAATTTTCTCTACAGATGGTTCACATCTCAGCCCTTCCTATAGAAATAATTTTGTACATTTTTCGATGGATTGTTTCTAGAGAACTAGATTTTAGAAGTTTAGAGAAAGTTTCACAAGTTTGCAAGGGTTTTTATGTTTTTTCTAGAGATGTAGAGATATGGAGGATGGCATGCATTAGAGTCTGGGGAGTAAAATGTGGCCACTTTGAACCAGATTACCACTCATGGCGACACATGTATATGCAGCGTCCAAGACTGCAGTACAATGGTTGTTATGTTAGTAAAACAACTTACCTAAGACCTGGGGAAAATAGTTTTCAAGATCAATTTTATAGGCCGTGGCATGTTGTGGAATATTACAGATACTTGAGGTATTAATCATTTGAGTTTGTGCATATAATCAACATATAAATCTTTTTACTCTTTTACTTTATTTCATATTGATTATTTTCCAGATTTTTTCCGGAGGGGAAAGTATTAATGTTAACATCGACTGAAGAACCGCAATCATGTGTGAATTCTTTAAAAAGTCGCAATCCTCGAAATCCTTCTGTGTTAATAGGTCACTATAGACTGCATGAAAATCGAGTAACTCTGGTAATGAAACGACAAGGGACCAAAAATGATTCGAATGTTGTTTACTCAAATCGACGACGTAAACGTAATGAAATAGCACATGATAGTGGTGTACAAACATTTTATTTGGTCAGTAGTGGTTCACTTTTCCGATGTATTAATAAAAGTAAAAACATTAATTTTCCTCTTTGGATTTTTACAGGAATTTGAAATTCAAACTTATCGGAAGCGAGTCAATTTTCAACTTTCGTGGTTGAGTTATTCGATTTATACAAAGTATAAAAATGGCGATGAAATTCCAGCAAAAATGAATCTTGGCGGCAGGTATCCGTCATTCCGATTTGGCCGTGTTAAATGCTACACCCATGATAGCGAATTTCCATTGGAATAGCTTTGAAATTGCGTTCGAGTGTTCGATTTATGCGCTCAAGTGTAAATAAATTCATAGATCAAAGTGTAAATATTTAAAAAGTTCAGTTTATACGCTTGATATAATTTATTTTACTTGTTCTCGATTTATCTTCATATCATATGAGTGTTGAGTGAATTTTTGAAAAATTTACGTAAAGTGCATAGACATCTATATTTGTTATTATTTTTTTGGGATTTTTACATGTGATGTGAAATAAATAATGCCATGAATTTTGGAACGGTGTATATAGTTTATTCGTCTAACAATAATATACAATCTGTTTCGAAACCTTCGAGTGACAGTTTCAAAATAGCACTTCAGTACCTACTACATTAAATGTATCATATTTTTAATTCTAAGTTCGCCAGAATTGCTTGTTTTAACCACCAGCTTATGTATATTATTACTCACTTATTATGATATACTTAATTAGTTATGTTACTCTGTCGAGATTATTTTCTGTTGTCGTATACGTGCTAATTTTCTTGTATAAGTTTGTTATTTTTATTATTGAATTGGAAGTAATGAAAAAATTAGCGTAGACAATCATTATAATAACTAGAAGATTTTCGCTCTATATTGTTTATCAGTTATTGAAGAAAGAAGCAAGAAAACATATTTATCGTAGCGTATTTTAACAAGATATATTGGCGTTCACAAACGCATCACAGCCTTTCTTGTCAAGCATTTATCTGCAATGATTAAATTTATTTTCAAGGATTTTCACATATTTTGGCCGAATCCGAGCATCATAAGAATCATTAGCCAATTGAGAGGTATTTCATTTTTATTTTGTTTTTCACGTTATCATTCAGCTAATATTCATTTTAGAGTTTAATTCGAACTGTTCACAAGATTTCTTTCATCTTGCATAAAAAGTTTTCATGTAAGAAGAGTTTCTGAATTACACGATTGGTTCCACTGTCTATTAAAGACATTTTACTCAAAATGCTGCGTTTAATGAAAAGAAAATGTGTAAAGACGAAGCTAATTTCATTAAAGTATGAAATACGGTGCAAATGAGCGTATAAGTAGTAATTGATTATTATGGCTTAATTAATGAGTGAAAAGTTCTTTTAAAAATTCTTACCATCAGAGTTTTCTATCACCCTTTAAAATGGAAGTAAATTTATTTGAATTGGAATAAAATGCCCTATAGTCTTTTCAATTCATAAGAGTGAATGTAAACAAAAATAATAAATAGTTGCTTATTGTTTATAAACTTGACGCATAGAGAATCTGTTATACTCATCGAATTAATTTTCTTTTTCTCGAAAATCTGACTTTAGATTTTTGAAATAGTCGAAAAAAGCAAAAAACAAAGTTGATGTTTTCTTTTTCGTGTATTTTTTATTTTATTTTTTGCTTGTTTTTTTCACTGCGCAGATTCGATCGACCACCACATATAAGTACACTTATACCTTACGCAATTGTTGTTAATTACCACTATGATCTATTAAGGCATAGAAGGCTACTAGTAAAGACGCTTAACTGATTACAAAGATTTATTCAACATAACTTTTTCTACTTCCGTGCTTTGAAAGCGCCTCGAAGCTTCAATTATTTGTATTGTTTTGAAATCAATCTTATTGATGAGATATCGTAATTTTTCTCCGTCAAAATCTATTTCTTCTACATGTGTACAAGAGATAAAAGGAAAATCGTTGTCAGGATGCGTAATCGAATTTTTCCCTCTCGCACTTTTCTTATAGTTTATTCGCATGAATATTATGGCAGCATATAATTTATATAATGCAGCGGGCAGGAAATCACAGATTTCAAAAGGACAGATAGAGTCGACGTTCCATGTATAAGAGTAAATCGACGAAAAGCAATCGATGCAATGTTAAAATATACATACTATATATTATATACTTAAAATTTTCTTTGATACGCGTGTATTTTATTCTACATTATATGCGGACGTTCAATGATCAGCTACCACATTATAATTTCATTTAAAAGTATATTATAATCTTTGCGTATAAGTGTAGGGGAAAAAAGATTTAATCACCGAGGGCATGCTTTGAATCTAGTCCAGAGTTGGCTCTTTGAAAAATTTACAAATAATTCATCCTTCCTGCAATTTCCATATTTTTTCGAGATTATTTCGTAAAATGATTCCGTTCCTCAGTGGATCGTCGCGCTAAAATCTACCCTGACATGTGTTATTAGATCGCCAAGTAATTTATTTCTAAAATTCATTTTGTAAAATTAACGGAATGTACGTGTAGAAATATTTGACAATTGACTAAGTTGCATATTCATATAATAGAACGACGTTAAAGGCGAAACCAGGCAAACGAAACAATTGTCGAAATACACATTAAAAGCATCGCTTAAGTGTGCTGCAATAAAGATAGAACTTTTTAGTTCAATGTAATTATTACTCGATAATTAATTCAAATAGTTTCGAATGCGCACCGAGTGCGATGCTCCTGAAAAAGTATCAATTTTTTTTATTTTTGTTTTTTTGTGTGTGTTACCGCCTTTGTTTAATTGTCATCAAATTTTCGCGTTTCTTGGCGCGTCTTCGTTATTATTTTGTATGATAATTATTGCATCGCCGTTTGCATGTACATAGTGATTTTATAATCGGTGTATAATTGTAATGTTATGCAATACTCGTACGCGTACGGTTGGAATGGTTGAAGGGCCGAACGAAAACTTCCACGGTGCGTCAGAGACGGCGTCTTGTCAGTGGCCGCCTCGTCGATTCAGAGCTCCGGATGACGCGGGACGAGATCGTCGGGCGAGCCGCTGCCGCTGCAGACCTCGGGCTCGAGCATCCAGGCGAGGTCGTGGAGAGTAGCCGCGTGCATCGAGCAGACGGCCACCACCACCATCACGTGCATGATGTTGTGCGAATTGAACAGCATGTCGAAGCAGCCCGGGATCCATTTTTCCGGCACTCGCATGGCGCCTATCGTGCCCCCGATCACGGCTATCAGATCCTGCCAATTTTTTCACATTTTTCTTTTATATCGATGATTATAGACTTATGAGGTGCGCATTTATGTACAGGTATCAAAGTTGCCAAGATTAATAATTATTTTCGTTGGACAATTATTTTCCCGATCTTGTGATTTAAATATGAATTGGTTTTGAATAGGTTCGTTGAGATTCATTTTTTTTTATTTTCAATAAAAAATGAGAGAAAATTTACCTGAAGAACGACGTGGGTGAAAGCGTCGGGGTGTCCACCACCGACCCCTAGTGACCTTAGCACCAGCACCAGCATGCGCATCATGAAGGGTGGTGAGAAGCACAACCGCCTTTCCCAAGGCGATTTGGCGTTCATTGCCTGAGCAACAAAATAATCAAGACGATTACGCGGTTCGAGAATATTTTTTTGTGAAAATTAAAAATGAGTAAGGAAACGAACTTTATAAAGGCCCCAAATGCTGAGGAAACAGTAGGTGACGATGCACGACAGCCACAGTAGGTCTGGAAGGCAATGGACCGACGCTGCTATCAATGGCAATGCCCCTGTAAACGATCAATCGATTTTTCATATAAATTTAACCAGTTTAATGCAAATTTTCTCTTATTTTTTGCCGATAAAAAAAAATAGAAAGTAAGTATAAATTCATAAAACCGCATCTTCGGCGGATAAAACAGTTACTCGCTTGAACGGCATATAATATATGAAATCACGCAAAAACCAGTTGTGTAACGGGTTACAAACGCTGCAGTGCGACACACAATCCAGTGTGTACGTTACATACATGAGAAAATGAATGTGTGTGTGTGTGTGTGTGTGTGTGTGTGTGTGTGTATTAGCGTACGTCGTAGAAATCTCGGAGCAGACGTCTAACAGGTGGAAGGAGAGTCATTTTTATTGCACACGCCATGCATGAGTCGCTCTCGGCAGTCGATCTGCGCGCAGTCGAACACTACTACGACGACCACGAGTGCGAGCAGAAGTCAATTGATTTCAATACAGGCGCATCGCAGTCTGGATCGATCGATTTTCAGCATGATCGTCGATACTTTGAGCGGCAAACTGAGAGGTTCCAAGGAGGCCTGTAAAGATACCGAAGATGGCCGATTTTACTACTCTTTCAAGGGTATACCCTACGCCGAGCCACCGACTGGACAATTGAGATTTCGAGTGAGTACAAAATCGTACACTCGCGATCGCCGCGTGCGCGATCAAACCATTCTTTTATCTCGAGCTCGCGCTATATTTATCTTTGTAAGCGCAATGTCATCGCAGCGTTTTTTTTCACGAATCATTTAAATAAATGGATCCAATCGACCTTGTGACACTCTTTACTCGATTATTTACTTGAAATAATTCATTTTTTCACTCGGCATGATCTATTAATTTTTTTTTTGTAACTCGATCTTATAAGGATCCCGTAGCGGTGAAGCCATGGAAAGGAGTGAGAGACGCTCTGGCACACGGAGCCAATAGTCCTCAATCGGACTTCATTACGAGCTTGATCGGCGGCAGCGACGACTGCCTCTACTTGAACGTCTACACGTCGGCAAAGTCGATCGGCGATGGGGATGGCTTCGAGTCGCCGCAACGACTTCGGCCGACCATGGTCTGGATTCACGGCGGCGGCTTCATGTTCGGCAGCGGCGACGACACGCTTTACGGGCCCGACTACTTCATGGCCAAGGACATCGTCCTCGTCACTATTAATTACCGTCTGGGAGCTTTGGGTATACATACCGATTTCTACAAACGTATAATTTTGTTCTCGCTATTATCGTATATTATATCGTGAAAATCGGCACAGGATTCTTGAATCTGGAGGACGAACTCGCGCCGGGCAATCAAGGGCTGAAGGACCAGGTGTTGGCTCTCAAGTGGATTCGCGACAACGTCGCCAGCTTCGGAGGAGACCCCGAGAACGTGACGATTTTCGGAGAGAGCGCCGGAGGTGCCTCCGTTCACTATCTCTCGATATCGCCCATGGCGAGAGGTAATTTTATTCGACAGCTGTATGGAGTTGTTGCTTTACACTCGCTCGTAATTCGTAGGTCTATTTCACAAGGTCATCAGCCAAAGCGGCGTAATTTTCAATCCGTGGGCACGCACGCCAGCGAACTCCGCGAGGAAGTGCGTTTACAAGCTCTGCGACAAGCTCGACATCTCGACGCGGGATCACAAAGAGATTCTCGATCAGCTGCGAAGCGTCGACTGTCTCGACATCGTCCGAGCTCAAGAGCAAATCTTGACACCCGAGGTGAGTCGCTGAAACCTTGGCATAATCGTCGCTCGTAACGAATAACGCACGGGCTTACTTTGTATCGCAGGAAAAAGCCTCGTTCTTGTTCCCGTTCGGGCCGGGCATCGACGCCCTGTCGCCGGAGCCGTTCATGGCCCGCGATCCGGTCGAGCTCGCGGCCGCACAAGGTGTACAACTGCCTCTTCTGCTCGGCCACAACACTCGAGAGGGCATACTTTTTCTCCGATGTAAGTGCAGTGTGATTCGTTGAAAAGCGATCCTCTTGGATCGAGCTCATACGAAGCCGACGTTCTTTTCAGACTGTCGCAACATGGACACGTACAACGACGATTTAAAAAAGTATTTGCATCCGCACGCGGTCGAGCTGATGAAGAGCTACGATCTGACCTTGGACGATCTGAAGCAGTTGTACTTCGAGGACGGCCGGATCAGCCAAGCGAATCGCGACAAGTTCCTCGATCTCACCGGCGACTTATACTTCAACGAGGGCATACAGAGACTCGCCAAGGTGCAGGTGAGCGTCGGCTCGGCGCCTACCTATCTCTATCGCTTCTCCTACGACAGCGACGTGTCGGCCCTCAAGGCCATACTCGGCGCCCTGGACATCCGGGGTACGTCGCACGGCGACGAGCTTCAGAAGCTGTTCCGGGCCCGCCTCATGGACACGATGTCTGCCGGGGGGCTGGTCAAGGGCAGCCAGGCCTACAAAGTCATGCAGCGTATGATCGAGATGTGGGTCAACTTTGCCGCGACCGGGTAAGAGTGACGCAGAGACTCGATTCCGTCTATTTCTTGTGCCAACGATCGATCATTTCATAACATTGATTTTTCAACAGGAGGCCGACCCCGGAGCCGAGCGAGCTCGTACCGATTTATTGGCAGCCGGTGAACGACGGCGACGTTCTCCGCTACATGGATATCGGCGCGGGCCTGCGTATGAAGGTCGATTTGAATTTAGAGCAGCGTTTCTTGAGCCGGCGAATTTGCCAACCGAAATTGTAATTTTAACGAGCGTCTTGTCGTGTGCCTCTCTTGTCATCATTGCTTATTTGTAAATATAATGAATGGAAAATTTTACTTGCTCAAGTTTTTCATTTACTTATTCATACATACACGCAGATGTTTATACCTCTTTCAGAGTACTCGTGTTTGTTTATTAACTGTCATATTATTCAAGAAGAATATATGTTATGACGATCGGATCTCTCGCCTCTATGGAAAGGGTAAGGCTGTCGATATTCAAATTCTCTCTGATTTTATCATCTTTCGCCGGACTCGTTACACTCGTAATTGACACGTTTCGCTAATAGCACGAAACAATCGAGATAAATTTTGACGGTTAAAAGAAAGAAAGTAATAGATCGACATGGCTGAAGAATCGTTGAAAGAACCAACCAGGAAAATGACTAAAGTCGAATCCAAAGAGGAAATTGCAGTTACCAAGTACGGTAAAGTGAAAGGAATAAAGAAGACTGCTTTAGATGAATTCGATTTTTACGCGTTCAAAGGGATTCCGTACGCCAGACCCCCCGTGGGAGAACTTCGATTCAAAGTAAGCTTTATTCATACTTATTACCAGAGAATAATCGTTTAGAAATATTTGCGAATAAATTGGATTCCCCGACTAATTGAAAAATTGAATAAATATCCGATGGGCGAGTCCTGTTGCACGTATTTTAATTTACAATTTCTGGCAAAATGAACGCGCGAAAATTGTTCTCCATTTCCACTTTGCGAGTTGAACAATTAATATTTAAAAGTAGCATCTCGTTTGCATTTGAACAGAAGGATTTGCAATTTGAATTGGTTTTTTGCACATCGTTATTCATTGTTTTTACCGAGCAAATAGTCGCGCTGCACTTTACGTAACTGCGCATAATCTTTTATTTTCAAATCATTGAAAATGCTAACGATTCGAAATGAAAACTCCACCAGGATCCGGAATATCCCGAAGCATGGGAGGATGTACTGGACGCGACCATGCACAGGGACGCCTGTGCTCAACCGAATCTCATGACGAAGGCCTTCGAGGGCAGTGAAGATTGTCTGTACCTAAATGTTTACACGAGGCAATACAAGAGCGGCGACGAGCCGGTGGAAGCGAAACCCGTCATGGTTTTCATTCACGGTGGAGCTTTTCTCTTTGGCAGTGGCGACGACACCATCTACGGGGCTGATTATTTATTGAGAAAAGACATCGTCTTGGTGACATTGAATTATAGACTGGGGGTGCTCGGTAAGCCACGCGTATTTTTTTGTCTTGTTTCATCCACTTACAAGATTGTAAAATGCCGATAACTGTGAACAGGCTTCCTCAATCTCGAGGACGAGCTCGCGCCTGGCAATCAGGGACTCAAGGACCTCGTGAAAGCTCTCGAGTGGATTCGCGATAACATCTCCACTTTCGGAGGAAATCCAAAAAACGTGACGATTTTCGGAATAAGCGCCGGCGGCGCCGCTGTACACTTCTTGACACTGTCACCGTTGGCCAACGGTAATTAGCTCGAGGCGAAGCTCGCGAGCGACGCATTAATTCTCGACTAACGATTTCTGTTTCGTCCAGGTCTCTTCCACAAGGCCATAATGCAGAGCGGCTGCGCCTTGAATCCCTGGGCTTACAGGAAGGACGACGCGGCGAGATTCGTCTACAAGCTTTGTGAGATTCTTGGCCACACCGAGCGAGATCACGAGGGTATAATGAGTTTCTTGAGGGGCGTCCCGGCCGAGAACTTGATCCAAGCCCAGGAGAAGCTGATCAGCAAAGAGGAGAAAAAACGTTTCTACTTTCCGTTCGTGCCGGGGGTCGACGCCAAGTCGAGCAATCCCTTCATGCCGATCGACGTCTTCGAAGCCGCCAAAAAGGGCGTCAAGGTACCACTCATCATTGGCTCGGCATCGCGCGAAGGTTTAGTTCTTTTGGAAGGTACGAACCGGCAATTTCAACTTTTTCATTTAACATAGTACATTTAAATTATTATTCATTGCTCTGGAAATTTTTGCAGAAAATCTGTCCTGCTTCAAGTACAATGAAATTGATTACGATCACATGAACGAGCACTTTGACAAATACCTGAATCCAGTTGTTGAAGATTACTTCAAAAACAAGTACAGGATGAACTTGCGAACTTTGAAAAAATGGTACTTCGATGATGCCCTTATTTCGGCGGGAAATCTGGGCAATTTCTTCGACATGGTCGGCGATCTCTACTTCATGGAGGGCATTCACACGGTCGTTGGAATACAAGTTCAAACAAATTCCAAGAATACTTTCATGTACGAGTATGCTTTTGACGAGGGCATGTCGCTGGTGAAGTCGATGTCGACTTATAAAACTAAGGGTGAGAATTGACATTGGCTCATTGCTTACGATCTGAAATTTTGACGAACACGATTGCTCAGGTACATGCCACGGGGACGAGATCGTCAGCCTGTTCCGGACTTACTTGTTGGAGCAGCACGGCGTGCCGGCGCACACGAAGCACTCCAAGCCCTACTCGATCATGGAGAAGATGGTCGACTTGTGGACAAATTTCGCCCGACTAGGGTGAGTATTGAATGGCCAAGGGGAAAAGCGAGATGAAAGAGTAACGTTCGCACGATTGGGTTTACAGCGAGCCCGATCCAGCGACGTCCGACCAGTTGACAAGCCCATGGAGTCCGGTGATGAGCGACAAAATTCTCAGTTACTTGAAAATCGACCGTATTTCACGCGTCAGGAGCGTCATCAATATGGAGCGCAATTATGAGGTCAGCGGCCCGGTCATGGCAGGATATTCGCCCAATCCGGTTGATCTCGATGAATCCGTCGAGGCCGACGCACCCAATCCCATGGATGAACTCATCGTAGCGGATGCAGAGGCCGCGGCATTAGAGGCTGAACAAGCCGAAGCTGCTGCAGCTAACGAAGCTGCCGGAGCTGAGGTAGCTAATGCAGCCGAAGAAGCTGATGCAGTCGAAGGAGCTAATGCAGCTGACGGAGCTAACGCGGCGGCTGACGGAGCCGACGGAGTCGACGGAGCCGGCTCATTTTCAGCCGATGAGTAATTGTACAAATGCACATGAATTTCAAAATACTTGCCTACTCGGCAACTCTTCTGTGAATTGAATATATATTTCTTTTAAATATGTCTTTGGATCTTTTTAAATGTATATGTGTATTTTTTTTACTACCCGAAATATCTTGAAACATTCGCCGAACTAGTGGCGTTTGATTTTATTGTTTTTCGACTAACGCTAGAGTACAAGAATAGACATTTCGATATTTTACAATCATACCACTTGATATATATCAAAATCTGAAGGGTAAACTAAAAAAAAATTTCGTACTTTTGGGCTAAAGTTCGGACAGGGTCTCTGTTCTGTTTTTGGCATTGTCACCGATGGCCAAGGATAAGATGCATCGATTTTATACAAATATAATATAAAGCCAATCAAGGTTGCACATGTGTATCTGTACACTGTGCAGGGCCGAGAATCGCCGCATACATCATGCACGCGTAAGCCTACTTATAATATATGTATGAGTGGGTCAAAATAATAAAACAACCTAAACATATAATATGATTTGGAATTCCTTTGTCTCGTCGAGTTTCTGCCGAGCTTGAAGAAAGCTGCGCCGTTGCCGCACTGCCTGCTTATCGCTATTCGGCTTAGCCAACTCTATATACGATCGTAAAGTCGAAACCAGAGCCGTGGAAAGATTGAGACTCGACTCGGCCCGTAGGAGTGCTGCTGCTCTTTGTGCTCACTCTGATTTTAGTTTTTTTTCTCGCAAGTATATAATTCGTCGTCGGCTCCATACCACGGATAATGTCTCGCCTTACCAGCAACGTATACGCGTCGAGCTGTGAGCTACTTGCGTCGACGACAGATTCGAATCGACAGTCCATCGAGACGCATGTAACCACCGAGTCGCTTCTCCTCTCTACCGCATTAACGCCCTTATATTATCAGAAACGTATTATTCCCAAAGTTACACACATACATATTATAATTCACGAACAAATACTCGCGCGCGTTAAATATTTATTGGTGCCTAATTTAATTGTGCTGCATCGAATATATCCTATCTGAGGTTCTATCTTTAGCGCATTGAAATTAAGCAGATTTCAACGATCAACTAAACAGGTAGCAATTCAATTTATTCAAGTGGCTCTCTTGAACATCACTTTATAAAACTGAACGCCTAGCTTTCTTATCTGATTTTCTTCTTTTTTGATTTTACATCGCGTGAAAGATCATACATAACTTTTGGCTAATTCGACAGATTGTAATTTTACGAATTAGATATTATTTAATTCATTATGATTATGCGCCTCCAAAATTAAACTTCAAATTTCAATCCTGCTAAAGATAATAACTATATTTTATAATATGTAATTTTATTTCAAATAATATTTCAAGTTATTTCTTTTGAATATCTTCGTCATTTACAAGCACTATCAAGTTATTGATTATTAAGAATTTAGCATGCGACCCCAAGTGAATGTATATTTGTTAAATTTTTCGAGGTACAATGAATCATCCTTGAGATTTGTGGCAAATTTTTTTTTTCATTTTTTTTTACAATTCAAGGATGTAAAAAAATCAAAAAGAATTTCTATATACAATTTAAAGAAATTATCACGGTATGCACGACTTTTGCACAAGTACTTGACTAATCGTATTGAAATTGAAATTGCACAATTTATAATGGTTTTAGAAGTTGGTTCATAAAATATGAGATTATTAATTTCGTGACATTAAATTGTTTTAAGTAATGAGAAGTGCAAAACATCGTTTGTTTTTTGTTGTGGAGCTCTCCTATATGCTCAGAGCTAGTATTTTTCTGATGCGCGAGCGACTATCCGCGTCGACGTCACCTATCGGTGACTAACTCAAATATCGTTAATTAGATGAATGATAGAAATTCACTTGACTAAATGAGAAAAAATTATTGTTACAGATCGATTACAGAAGATGAAGGTTTTAGCAAATGAAGACTGCAATTTTCGCAGACCAAAACAATTAAATTCTTCTCTAATAAGTATCTCGAGAAGAACTCCATACAAATTGAATACAAGGAATAGAACTGATTATAGCCGCTTGTACTGCCTGATTCCCTGGACTGAAGAATCCGAAGAAGAAAGAGTGAATAAATTTTTTCACGAGTTCGCAAGATACGGACAGCTCGAATACATCGAGACAGTCAAGAATAACACGTTTGGCTACGTCAAGTACATCGACAAAGAAGATGCGAAAAAGGCCATGCGCAAATCCAAAGGGACTGGCTACGCTCCAATTTTCGCGGATGAAAGAAAACGCAGCGCGGCTGAGAGATCGCTCGATCCGTATGACTTGAAGATTTTCCATGAAACATGTGGAAATGAAATCTATGCGAGTACGCAGGAATTGCATTACGAGACCTGCGCCAAGCAACTCAATTATTACAGAAATCTTTACCACGGTCCCGATGGTAAACCAGTATCCCAGTATCCCAGTGGTACCAGTCAGCGATTGCTCTGCACGTGCCCAATTTGTCCTTTATCAAATTCTTAAAATTTCTTTCTCAATAACGACATCATTGACTCTATGTAATCCATCAATTTTACTGCTTTTAACGTCTCTTTCAATTATCAAAATGCATAAACGAAGAAAAAAAGAATACTTTTTGTTACAATGCCACTCTTCAATGTCACAATTAGCTTTTGTAATGTTACGATAACTTGAGCTGAAAACGTAGTTATTTTTTTGAATGTCAACACAATTTTATATAATGAAACTTGGCTCGTTATGTAACAAATGAAATTTACTCATAAGTTTGTTTGCTTTAGATTTTCATGACAATATATTTATAATAAATTCATTTAAAATTTTTTGATTTTTTGATTTATTTCATAAATGTCCACTCAAGTTCATAATATTGGAAGAACATTTTTTACACGTAAATCTCTTTTTTAACAGCTAAAACCATCAAAAGCAGAGTGATCATCTTCATACGTATTATGACACATGATGATAAGATTTGACTCGGGTTGGATTACAGGCGAAGCATGTTTTGAAAAAGTTTTACATTCACCGAATATGCAACAATAGCAGAATGTCCAACGTGTACTAGCATACACGGTCTACAGTTGCAGCTCTATACACACTTGGGTATTAATCTGGCTATTAATAGTGTGTATAGTCAACCTCATTCTTTGATATGTAACATTTACTTGAATTAAATTAAATTATTTATTTCCTAGGTTAATTGCACGGCTTGAAAATTGCTATAATTCGTACGTATAAAAGGGAAGAAAAGTACACATTTGTAAAAGTACAATAACACTTATCGAAAATCGATTTCAACAGTATTTGGACTAGCCACCAGTTGAATGGAGATTCGCTGGAAATTTCGATAATTTAAATAGATACTTAACGGGAAATTACATAATTTTCGAATAAAAGCAAGCCCTGGCGTGAATTTATAAATTGAATTCGAATAAGCGCGCCGTTCGAGCTACGAGTCGAGTCGCGTTCATTCATTGCATCGTCTGTCGCACACATACACATTTGACACACGCACACACGCGTTTCGCAGCAGCGAAAGAAAGATACGGGTCGCCTCGAGCGACGCGTAACAGCCCCCCACGCGACATTGCAAAGTTTTGCGTACAGCCGTATAGCAGCTCTGGTCGTGGCACGTGACCCCTTTGATTTCCGCATACGCAGAGGCATGCCTGAACGTATCTAACGCGGAGACCGGAGCAATCGCTCGACACGGACAATCGCACACAGATGCATACACGCGGCCTACGTATCATGACTCGGGGTCCATTGATTGAGATAGGCTTGGCGGCCGCAGTACCTCGTGATATGCCGTAGCAATCGTTTGCTCGCCTTTCGCGCGACTTTGCCTATGCCGAGCCTATAAAGTATATGTGTGCATTTTATATAGAATAATATATAGAGTAGCAGTGCAGAGCTACAAGAGGAGCGGAGGCATGGCGGCTTCGCTGATCGTCGAGACGCCAAGCGGCAAATTGCGCGGCGAGCTGCTGCGATCGCCCGAGGCAGGACGATTTTTCTCCTTCAAGGGCATACCCTACGCTCGGCCGCCCATAGCTCGGCTCAGATTTCGCGTGAGTTTATACACTTTTCCCCAGCATCATCATTATTGTCCCTCGGTAATATTAATTAATGTAGAAAATGACGTGCGCTGCTCTACGAGTGGTTTTCCTTGCGCCAAACGAGCTCGTTCGAGTGGGGAGTCGCATAATGTGTAGCATAAAATGAACGCCGAACGAGAAGCGCTCAGCCGGTGGTTGACATTTCTCCAATGTTTGTTTACGTTCCCCTCGTTCGCGAGCGCTGAAAATCGCGTCTTCTGCTATTCGCAGCCGAGAGCCGCAACTTTTTGCTTTTTAAATGCCACTCGCTCTTGGTATCTGTTGAAAGTTTTACTCGATTTAAATAATCCTACGTATATTATATTTAAATCGATTTAAATATCGTACGTATGTGCAATAAATAAATGTCAACCATTGACTCGATTTGACGCGATGTAAGCCAGATACCTATAACCGATCGTGCAAGGCAGATGTTAATCAGCCTTTAACATTCACGAAAACAGTCGTTTTCTGCTTTATGAAATTCGATGTCGATTTACATATTTTCCTATTTAATTTCAACGATCACCGCAATGACAATCGTCTCTCTCAGGATCCGCAACCGGTGGAGCCATGGCAAGACATCAGGGACGCGACGACCCACGGCCCGATGTGCGCCCAAGTCGATTCGCAAACCCAAAGGCTCAAGGGCTCGGAGGACTGCCTCTACCTTAACGTGTATACGCGCGACCTCGACGGCCGAGCCCCGGTGCTCTTTTGGATTCACGGGGGTGCCTTCATGTACGGTAACGGCAACGACGAGTCCTTCGGGCCGGACTTTTTTCTTCAGAAGGACGTCGTCCTTGTCACCATCAATTATCGACTCGGCGTCTTGGGTACGTGCTTTTTTAGCTACCGTTCGTTGCGTGGAAAAATTAAGAAAACGCTCTAATCTCGATGTACTCTCGTGTGCACGATAAGATAAGATGCACGCGTTGAGCCAGAGTATCGTTAAACAAAGGCTGCTTACACGTTGTGTGCAATAATGATAACGGCCAATTACGATGAATTAGGTTTTTTAAATCTTCAAACCGAAGAAATTTCGGGCAATCAAGGATTGAAGGATCAAGTGATGGCCTTGAAATGGGTGCAATCGCACGTGAGATGCTTCGGCGGCGACCCGGAGAACGTGACGATTTTCGGAGCCAGCGCTGGCGCCGCGAGCGTGCACTACCTCACCCTGTCACCCATGGCCAAAGGTGAATGTCGATCGCGCATCCATAATTCGTTGGAAAAATAAATAACCCTGGCTCGCTTGTGTGTTCCTCCGCGCGCAGATTTGTTTCACAAAGCCATCTGTCAAAGTGGCTCTGCTCTGAATCCCTGGGCTTTGCCGAAAACCCCGGAGGACAACTTAAAGGAGTTCTCGCGCGCCGTCAACTACCGGGGCAAAGCCGACGGCCCCTTGACGGAGTACCTGAAAAACCTCGAGGGTCACGCGCTCGTCAAGGGCCAGGAAAAATTGATCAGCCCCAAGAGATTGATGCAGTGCAGATTCCCGTTCGGCCCGACTCTGGATTACGCGAGCAGCGAGCCTTTCATGCCGGCAAATCTGCGCGACGCCATCCTCGAAGGGGTTCAAGTTCCGCTCATGATCGGCTGGAACAGCTTCGAGGCTTTGTTCAAGCTCGATGGTGCGTACGCGATTATACGTTTTGTTTTATCGATAAAAACCGAGCCGAGCAGAGGCTATATTTACATTAACAAATTAATCCATTGATCCTTCCAGTTTTACGTCTGATCGGCATGAAAGAGATCGAGGAAAATTTTGCCGAGTACCTGCCATCGACGGTCGCCGACGACTTCAAATACAAATACGGCCTCGGTGCGAAAGACTTGCAAAGATTGTATTTCAAACGCGAGGCGCCGGACGAAAAAAAAGTCCTCGAGTTCTGGAGCGATTTGGCCTTTGTCGAGGGCATTCACAGTCTGGAGAACATTCAGTATCACCAAGGCGCAGCCCCGACGTACTTGTACAGATTTTCTTACGACGAGAACGTTACGCTAGTCAAGAAGTTGCAAAAAATTCCCTACAAAGGTATGACGCGCTCGAACTCGTTTAAAATTGCGCTTGGTGCGACGCGAGTATATTAACGGCAGCAATCTATTGTACGCAGGTGCGAGTCACGGAGACGAGCTGACGTACCTCTTCAAAAGCAGACTACCCGAGATCAATAATCTGCAGCAGTTTCAAGAGGGCACCGGGGCTGATCGAACGGCCAAGCAAATGATCGAGCTCTGGGTCAACTTCGCCAAAACTGGGTGAGTTTTACGATCGCGCCGTTATAGGCGTAATATGTCAATTTCGCGCGACAAGTTTTAAAATAACTGCTGGACGTTGGGTCGAACTACAGGCGACCCACCCCGTTCACCTCGGAGCTACTGCCGATTTATTGGCAGCCGCTGATCAGCGACGTGGTACTGCGCTTCCTCGACATCGGCGACGAGCTGCGCATGGAGAAGGCCCTGAACATCGAGCAGCGCTACTATGGCGGCAACAAACGCCGCGTCTCGTTGGGCTACTTGTTGGCCCTGGCCAGTGCCGACCAATCGTCCAATCGCATCGAGTCTAATTGATGCATCGCCGTGTATTTTTTACACTCGATTCGACGCGTGTGTTGACGGGCTGTAATCCGACGCTTTCACGACGATTTTTCTTTAACTTATCAATGTATTATTTTATCAAACATGTGCAATAATCGCTGGTGACTTTACTTAAAAAGAACTAATTTCTCGATAGGTGGTGAAAGTTCGAATTCAATGAAACTCGAGAATAATTACATTTTGTGGTGAAGGGGGTACAAAATAGGTGAAAATATTTCGGTAAAATATTTTTGAAGGTATTATAGTGTATTTTTATATGTACGTTGAAGCTGCAACAAAAATAAATAAATCATAAATTGACGTTCTCGTTCGAAAAAAAATCGATTCAATTGACGTCCTGCTGCATGTCTCTAGCGAAGCTTGATCTATTTTTAAGCTATATACTTATATAGCGTTCGCGAAACGATACACGCACTATTCTTCCAAAATTTATAAATATTTTGACTCCGAGGAATTATTGGTAATTTTAAGTATCGGTCAAACGTATTGACCGATAAGTTGAATATTAACTAAACAAAAGACTCTCATATAACGGAAAAAATGAATAAATCAAAGTCGGAATCGATTCTCTGTTATAAAAGAATCTAGAATCGGTATCGAAGCCATTGTTACAACGCAAGAATCGAATCGATTTTTAGGAATAAAGTAGAATCGCACATCCCTAATCAGTACACGTTACGACGCGACGCAGCGTGAAAGACAAAGTCCGATAGCAAGCGAAATTGAATATTTGAAGTTTATGAACGAGCGTGTGTTGTGTGTGACTGTGTAACACAATGGCTCAAGAAAATCAGATCAATCGGGGCATTGAAAAAAGTAGTCACGAATTTCTTCGTCAACTTAATTCCCTTATCAGTGATTATGAGGGACAACTTCCTAGCCTCGGAGACATTTTTCGGCTCGCAGCGATTAAATGGCTTTTCTCCGAATTTGTGAATTCCGATGGAGACCTGAGGAAATCAAGAGCAACTATCAACTTTTTGATCAACGCCGAATACAAAGACGAACCAAAAGTCGATGAAAACGGAAAGCTATCGTTGTGTCGTACCACGCCAATACATTATGTGTCTAGGGATAACAGATTAGATGATAGACTCTTAATCCGTGCAGGCCAAAACTCGTGATGTTGATAAACTTATTTCTGGTATTTTTTTTATGTTTGCTGTCATTCAATTTTTTATAACATTCAAATAAATAAAAATGAAAAAATGGATTTTTTTTTTGTTCAGATTTAATGATTTTTTTTTGTTTCATCTTCTTTTTAAAATTTGAACGATCATTGGCAAAGGTCACATTTTCCCTCAAAGTCACTTGAATTTCAGAATGTTTTAAGCCATGGTTGCACGAACAAGGATTGACGCATTTTCAAATATCCTGTGTGTATGGCTGTGATGAAATCGTTTAAAAATTCCTCGAGCTTGGACAAGATCGGGACAAGATTAATTGCCTCTTGCCAAAAATAGGAGACTCCCTGTTACCCTTGGCCGTGGGCGAAGCCCCCCTAGTAATATATAAATTTGCTGCACGATCTCTCCTGCGCTCGGATTCTCGCTCGACATTGGCGTGCGCGATATTTTTGCCAAGTGCATCGAAATCCAGGTCGCGTAAGAGAGTAAACGAGGTATACGAGCAAAGGATCACGGCCGTATTTTTATAATCCGATCCATTTCCGTTGTACGGATGCGTGACGAGCGCGAGAGGCAAGTAAGGAATATCGGGGAAAAGGGACGTGGTTGCGGCTTACCGACACTCTGGCAGATCCAAATTCCCAGCATGTCGAGCTTGAGGAGGTTCCTGTAGACGGCCTCGCCGTAGTCGAGGTTCATGAAGACGTGATAGAGAAAGGAGCCGATCCAGGGACTGACGGCGCCGATCAGGTGGCACCAGGACAAAAAGCCCGTCAGTGCGCCACGAGCGCCCCAAGGCAACATGTACGGCACAGTCACTAATATATAAACGATGGCGAATCCTGTTGAACAAAAAATCGACGAGCAAGCATTAGACACGATAATATTTCATGCTATAGCATATTACTAGTTGGGCATTTAGATAATTTTGATCCCGTCGATCGGAGCCTCGAGAGATTTAACATGTAAATCCGAGCTATTATTCAAACACATGGCGTGTAATAAAGAGAGTAACGAGGTTCGGAGCTCGATCGTAGAATAAGTCGAAGGGAAAGGAAGAAAAGCTCGGAGAAAAATGGCAACGACGAGCTACATCGGTGAGTCGAGTCTCTATATATGTATATACCGACGCGTGTAAAAGTATAGTATATAGGTATAGAAGCGCTACATAGCTATAGAAGGAGAGAATAGAAGCGTGTAAAGCAGCGTCCGTTGGAGCATGTCGCGCAGCACATGGCATTTATATGGCCGATTCTCTGTGAAATCGATTGGTCAAAAAAATTTTTTTTCTGCAAATATGAAAAACTTGTTGTATTTGATGTCAGAAATGTCCCCAAATTTTATTAGAATTTTTGGGGCCTTCTATGACACTTTTTCAGAGGCCCAAAGTTGGCCATTTTAGGGTTTTTTTGAAATTCATGAAAAATCACAAATATTAAAATAATTCCTGGATTAAAGTAGAATGATTCAAAAGTAAAAGTGCCCAGCAACTTTTTTGTTGGAAATTGTCCAAATTTTCAGAAAAAAAATATGCTAAAGTGATTGGAGCCACCTAAATACCTACTAGTGGGAAAACATAAAAAAAAAACACAAAACAAGAAATCTACTCGAGTTCGAACCGGACTTTCATTTCCTAAACTATGTGAAAAGCTTCCTAAAGATGTCAACTAATGCCTGATAAAGTTTTGTAATGGGTCTTAAAGTTTAACGCAATGTAGACATCAATGTGTGGCGAAAAACGTGCAAAAAAGGTCAAAAATAGGCCTAAAATGCCTAAAATCACCAAAAACAGCCATTTTCAGGCCTTTTTTGCACGTTTTTCACCACACATTGTTGTCTACATTGCGTTAAACTTTAAGACCCATTACAAAACTTTATCAGGCATTAGTTGACATCTTTAGGAAGCTTTTCACATAGTTTAGGAAATGAAAGTCCGGTTCGAACTCGAGTAGATTTCTTGTTTTGTGTTTTTTTTTTATGTTTTCCCACTAGTAGGTATTTAGGTGGCTCCAATCACTTTAGCATATTTTTTTTCTGAAAATTTGGACAATTTCCAACAAAAAAGTTGCTGGGCACTTTTACTTTTGAATCATTCTACTTTAATCCAGGAATTATTTTAATATTTGTGATTTTTCATGAATTTCAAAAAAACCCTAAAATGGCCAACTTTGGGCCTCTGAAAAAGTGTCATAGAAGGCCCCAAAAATTCTAATAAAATTTGGGGACATTTCTGACATCAAATACAACAAGTTTTTCATATTTGCAGAAAAAAAATTTTTTTGACCAATCGATTTCACAGAGAATCGGCCATATATATAATATATATGGTTTATAATATCGGTAGGTATTACAGACACCTATATCGAGTTTTTGCGCGCGACAGTCGCTCTCTCGGTCGAGTACTACGATAGGTATACATAGAACAGAGCGCGGAGCATCCACGTGGTCCAACGGCAACCTTGACCTTGAATTTACACACGAGCTCGCTGGCTCCGTCCGTAAATGATACACGGTATAGGCGAGAAAAGGCGCTTACAACGACGACGACCTACAGCGATATACATATGACAGATCCGCGAGAGGAGGAGCGGGTTATCAATTACTACACGTGGCAGCTCTCGTGTTACAATTATATATACGTAGACGCGCGATTAATCGTAAGGTTCGCGATGACAAAATTTTCAGCGCCGTCAATTATACGACTCGAGCCGCCGCGCATCGATTTTGCCCCAATACTCGACCACGTACGTGTATATAGCTATAGCTGCGTTCGCGAGTCGAGCGAAAGTAAACGACGCATTACAACGCGTGCATTAATGAATATATGTATGAAAACAGTGCGCTGCGTATAACGTGCGCCTGAAGGCGCGTGTGCCGCATAAAGAAGCCAGTGGCACACACGTGCGCGCATATAATAATAAGAACGCGTAAGCTCCGCCGTTGGCCACCGCCGCATCGGCCGAGCTTTCGCGCGCGCGCGCCAATGGACGAGCCGACGGAATTCCGCCCGCAGAGAGAGAGAGAGAGAGAGAGAGAGAGAGAGCCGCAGCAATGCCAAGGCTACTGCCAATGTCTCGGCTGGAGTTCCGTCGCGTGTGTAGCCAGCAGCTCGGTGCAAGAGTCGCACTCATTATGCACATCTCCAACGCGACTTTGGCGCGGTGGTATGAAATATGCACCCGAATCACGACGAATAAGAGGACGTGCGTTCTCGGGACGCAGGAGCTTTGGGGACGCGCGTCGAAAGTCGAGCTGGCCTCGAGGTGATTGACTCTCTCTCTCTTTCTCTCTCGATCTCGGGCCTCGAGGGAGGTGGTAGACGCTACTCTGCCACGATATATAATATACGCCTCGGGAGAGCGGCGACAATTAGGCGCAAAAGCCGTTTCACCTATATAAAGTACGATGATACTCTCTTCTCTGCGTCCTGAGAATATGCGCTAATGTTGAATAAGCTGCCGACTCGCTGACGCCTATACATGCGAGGACTGCTGGTCCTATGTAGGACTGGCGCACAGGTGCACGGGCCGTGTGCAGCTCGCGCATTACGCCGCTTCAAAGCAAATACGTCAAAAGTAGACTGACCCATTTATATACGCAAGCACCTACACACACTTATCGCTCTGCACGAGTTCGCACGCGGGCTTTATAAGCTCTCTCTCTCTCATCCTCTTCCTATATGCATGTAAAATTGAACGCGCACATTGTCGAATTATTTGCCTTTTTCAAACACCTCTCGGCTGTACTTAATACGCACTCGGCCGAACGCGCTGAATTAGTTAAATAGGATAAATTTGCTCGCATTATGTTTGCGCTCGCGCGATCCTATTATTATTATTATTACTACTAACTCCGTGCTATGTGCTTTCGAACGTATGTATTATAACTGGGCTGTTTGTGTGTGTGTGTGTAAAATTCGAGTCGAAATTGAATATTTATAACGTAGCGTCCGCATTAGGCAGCGGCCTGCCTCGCCAAGGTATAATACGTCCGCCTAGATATAGATATATAGACATACGGACGCGAACTAAATGACGTCACGGGACGAGCTGCTCCGCAACGCCTCTATACGTATACATGCTGCATTCGCATAGATTTGCCCGAGGATTTTCTTTTTTTAAACGCGCACTCGTGCATACGCGATGCTCTCTCTCTCTCTCTCTTTCAGCGACGAGCACACCTACAAACACGACGCTCAAAGTTAATATCGTCTGGAAACACTAATACCACCACCACCAGTGACGGCCTATTCTCTCTGTCTACTTCTGCAAGCTCTGCTTTGAGGATGTTCTTTCTCTCTGCGTCAACAATAATAAAGCTTCCCAGCTTGTCCAAAAAAGCCAACTCTATACCTCTATCTATATACTCCACACACATTGTTTTCGGGCTTTTTCTATTATTCCAGCCGAGCGGCTCTGTAACTCGACTTAATCCGCTCTGTACTCCAGCGATTGTACGTATACACGAGCCTCGACCTATCAATGCGCAGCGATATTTTTCATTAGCCCCTTTTTTCATCGTCGTCGTCGTTGATGCATGTATCAGTTCTATAGGTCGAGCGAAACAATTTATGGAGTCGTGATTTTTGTTTGTCCTAGAGAATCGGAGCTACACATGTATGCGAGAAACACGTGATTCCACCGAGAGACCGAGAGCGAATGTCAAGGAACATGTAGAGGTACATGTAGCAGTCGTGATAATTGGCCCTGATCTTTAAAATTCCAAGCGCCCGTGCGATAACACGAGGCTATACTTAGCGCCTCGCGGCCGACACATCCGCGTTCGCTCGAGAGAAAAACTAAAAGTGCCGAGTTTCGTTAACAAGAGCGACTTGTCTTGAATGAAAGGGAAAAAAGCATACACGATAACTGGAAATTCGGACCAACTGTAAGAATTTAATGGAGCAAAGTTTTTCACTCCAATTTCCTTCGTCGATTCAAGGATGAAGAAGTTAGGCGCTCAGAGTACCGCGCGACTTTCGGCGCGTTCCCGCTCCTCGTCGATGCATCGGTGGATTTTCTCTACGTCCGCGGCTACCATTTAATCGCCAAGGGGACCTATCATCCTTCGTTACGAGGTAATAAAAATTTAAACCGCGTTCGCATCAGCCGCTTGGCATTATTCAGGGCTTTTCTTTCCCCCAACTTCCTGATGCGGCGCGCACCTGCTTCACGACTAAATAAGTCGCGACAAAAATCGCGATCAGCTTTCTGCTTCGTACGCGCGTCTCGCTCTCGATGTACCTCGTGTATCATTACATACACGTGCGCGGGTGCGAGCTATTAAAGTGACTTATCGGCTTCCGAGCCTTGCATAAGTCATCGCGTTACGCAACTGACAACGCCGCAACTAACGAGCTCAAAGCTGCTCACTGCTCACATACATACAATGAGCATTTCGTGTCGATACTCGAGGCCCAGACCACTGCAAAAGAAAAAGTAAAAGAGGGAGAAAAAAGCTCGACTCACCATGCGTCAAAATGTTAACAGTCTCGTTGTGCAGGCTGAAGATGCTCCTCAAGCAGTCGCCGGGTCGCATGAGTGGCCGATAGCCCGTGTGTATGTGCGGATTGAACTGCAGATGCTTCGGCATGTCGCTCCAGTTGCACAATTGGCACTCGGGGCCGCTCGACGACGATCCGCCCTGTGTCCGTGTCTTCTGGCCCTCCAACGACGTCGTCGTCGCCGCCGGAAATCCATCCTCGTCCCGTCCGTGCTTAAGCTTCTTTTCATCGAACGAGACATGTTCCTGATTTAGCTGTTGCTGCTGATGATGCTGAAGATGGCACGGCTGATCGCCGGCCTGAGTAGGACTGGGAATTTTGGCCGTCGTCGTCGTCGAGCCGCCGGCAGCGATGTGGCAGCTCGAGTCACCTGCTCCAGCCGGTCTGTCCCTGCTGCTGCTGCTGCTGCTGCTCCTCGTCCCTTGTAGCGCTGCTGTCGTTGCCGCTACGATCAGCACCTTCGATTTGGCAATGATCTAACTGCTGCTGCTGCTGCTGCTTCTTGTGCTGAGGCTGCTCCGACGATTTGATTATCGCCAGCATAACGTGTGTTCTGGTACTTAAGGCTAGTTTTGGTGAATGCTCTGACAATTTCTGTAAACGAAACAAAATGACCTGTTAGCCTCGGACTTGGCGCATTAGCACGTTTAGCCGCACGTTTGAAACATTTTTCTCCGACTCGTGACGAAAAATAAAAACTGCCGACTTGATAACAATTTAATTTCCTTCTTTTTTTTCAACTTTGTACGCTATCGTTAATGGCTTATTTTTGTTGGGCACTTTGCTCGATAAAAAAGTCTCGTTGCTGCGATAGGCCGTAAACCGATAATGTATGAAACGCAATTTTTTTTCTCCACATTTTTAAGGGAATATCGAGCCCATTGTTGCTGTTAAAAGCATTTTGTCGGCCCCTGCACGAGTTCGTCAATCGAATAACAATTAATATAATTGTTAAAAGCTATTAAGGTCAAAAGAGGATATCGAATGCGTGGGCAAATATGGCAGCGAAAATCAAGCACGGTCCAACAATTACAAATGGAAAATATTTAAAGAGCTTAATTAGGCTACACGGCTCGAGTGAGCTCAAAAAGCTGATTAAATACATTCGAGCTCGTTGAATTTTTCAAAACGTTAGAACGTAATTGTAAAATTAAATTAAAATCAAATTTCGAGCAAGTGCGCTAATGCAGAAAAAGGTCATCGGAGAAGGCTAATTATGACACTCGAATTAAGTCTTTATCTAAACTAAATACTTAATCGTACGTTGAAACTTCAATAAAACATCCGAAACCTATGTAATAAAAATCCAGCGCAAAACATTTGGCTAGAGAATATTAAAGTGCATGAACGACTTTTAAAAGCAATAAAAAAGCACTTGTAGAGGGTAAAACCTCAATGAAATCCACACATGAAACATATGATATTTTTGTTGCAGTTAAATTACTCGGTGTTTATTTTCCCTACGATGGCGGAGAAGTTGCGGACAATAACCTGCCAATGTAATCGACGTGGAGGACAAATTTAATAAAGAGATCTATGTACGAATATCGCTTCACTGCCAGATATGGGCTTTAACTATGAAAATTGAGTCATTACTCATTAGAATTTAGTGGCTCTAGTTCTTTCGTTTTCTACCGACTTAAAATCAATAGACATTTGTGCAAGGGCATTTTTGTCAACATTCCTTTATTATACATGAGCTACTCCATTATTTCGAAAAAACACTATAAAATACTCGAATCGAGTGCTTAGCTTTACTCCTCTACTTAGCTCTCTTGACCACTTCAGTTTTTTTCCCTTTGCCCTCGATTTATGTCGATCCCTCTTCGCTTCTTTTTTATTGCTGCGATGAGTTGATCAGATACAGATATGTTTCGATCAAGAAAATAATCAACCAGGTGTTACGAAGTTGAATGAAATTTTTACTCGCGATAATGTTACGAGCTCGATTGGAGAATAACATTGAAAGCTTCGAATCGTTATTCACTGCGAAATAAATTACTAAGCACGTGCATATTTAAATGAGTTTATATAAATACATGTATACAACTTAAACGTGGCTATGTATCGCCTGGATTTGTTATTCAAATGAGCACGATACTATTTGGAAGGTATCTTTTGACAGGGCAACGGGCAGAGATACTTGGCATTTGATGCAAAAGATTGATTTCGGCAATTTTCTATTCAAGCTTTACAATAAAAGAGTTATTTTACTGCGAAATTCAAAAGGCCATTTCCAATTTATTCCGGCTGCTGGAATGCAGGTTTTTTTTCTTACAAATCCGCGCTGCATTGTAACGAAAAGTCGATAAAATTCTTGAATTTTGTATCGCGTGATAACGAAAGGAGCTATTAAATTTTCTCTCCGAGGGCAAAAAAAGGTATCGTTACTCACTGAAAAATGCGGAGCGTCGTAAAGAGCGGAATTTCTCGCGCGTAACAATAAATAACCCCTAAAAAGTGAGAGCGTCTCTCGGGCGAGAGAGAAAAAAAGAGGGAGCCAAAGGAGAAGAAAAGGGTAAAGAGCTTTGGCGCGCTGGCGGCCAATTAACGGCGTAGATAAGAAATTGTTTTGAAAATAGCCCGTTGCGCGCGGGTAGAGTCAGCTGACCCGCAAGCTCGAGCTCCCGCGTACATGCACCGCACACAGCTGCACACTGCTCCGCGCACTGGCACTGCACCACACGCGCCTCGGCAATTTTCGGTGACCTTTCGAGTCGATTTAAGCCCACCCAAAGCTCTGGCGCTCGGAGGGGCAGCCTCGAAGCACGAAGCACACCTCTCTCGCATAACCAAAATCAAAAGATATTCCGCAAGTACGAATTAGCCAAGGAAGAAAGACCTGCCTACAAAATCACTGCTTTCCTCTTGACGGTCCTTTGGGGAGTCCTCGTGGATGAGCGTCAAAGGTAAAAAAGCTCGGGGCCCCTCGGCACAAGATCGGGAGCACAGGAGCAGGACGAGGACGAGGAGGAGGACGACAACGACGACGGTGGCAGAGCGAAGCTGCCTACCAACTATTCGCGTCCGTTGCAGAGCTGCTGCAGCTCTCACTGGCTGATACGGCTATGCGGAGCTGCGCTCATCGGCGAGCAGCAACTACCGGGGCTCGACTGCTGCTGCTGCTGCAACTGCTGCTGCTCACGGAGAATTGAGAGAGCGAGTTGGCTCCGCCGCGACTCGCGCGACTCTCTCTACACATGTATATAGCGTGTGTGCATATATATATATAGCAGAAAACGCCAGTGGCAGTGGCAGCAGCAGCCACTATTCGCCAGCTGTACATTATATATATACGCCATCGTGTGTGCTGCTGCTCGCTGGCTCCGCATGTAGCCTGCGCGAACTTCAACCCCCTCCGCTCTCTCGTGCCGTCGCCGAGGAAACGATTGTATCGATCTTAGTTTTCGTGCATCTTGACTTTTTTTTTCATCGTGTACATATACGTATTATTGTGAGTGCGGTTTTTAGGGGGACTGCTCCCCCCCTTGCCCCTCGTACTACAGCCGCGAAGTTTCTACCCTCTGCCTACATATACGCGCAGTCCCGATCCTGTATGTATGCGCGTGTGATTAATAGTTGGCTCGCGCGATGCACACGATGTAACGCGCCTGCATGACGCTTTACACAACCCCCGATAACGCATGACCTGTTCTCCCTCTATCTATTGTTTTTTTATTTAATCTTTATGATGATAAACAGCCGATGCTGGAAACTAAGGACGCTCTCCAACTTTTCCCGATTTTTCGCCGCGGCCAGAGTAAATATAACGTTTGAACTTGACTATCCACTTGGCATTTCAAGTGTTCGAATTTCTCGATACATGATTTTTATCCTTTTTTTTTTATTTCCTTTCAACTGCGAATTTATTTTAGACTGGATTTTAAATTTATAACCTTCGCGTGAGTGTATGTTTTTGGGCGGACGATAAAAAATACATCGTTTAAGCAATAACATTTTTTTAACCACTCCTTCTGCTTGTTCAAGTTTTTCAATTTTTATCGGTACTTTTGGAATTAAATTTCATTCTCGAGTATCGGAAAGAGATCAACGTTGCTAAAAAAATGGTCCTCAAATATTGTTGAGTAAAAAATAGACTCTGCTGACAATGATGATCGATTCCGGTAATCGCTTTTTTATACGATTGGGATTCATCTTTTCACAAAAAATTTCTCCATTCAGAAATAACGAGAGTTTTAAATTTTAATGTAACTTGGAATTGTGTCTCTGACAACAGTTTTTAATTGAGGATTTTTGGCTCATATTTTATATTTGAAAATAACCTTGAGCTCTTTACTGAAGCTACTCATTTTGATTTAAGACTTGCAAAGGACAAAACAAGAAACTCCTCCTTCCGAAATTCCTGGCACTTTCGGAGAACATATTATGCATCGCCAAACCCTCAGAGAAATAAGATAGTGTCATAGTGTATATCTCTGGGACTCGATAATTGAAACTTTATAATACGTGACGCGCGCATTTCTCTGGGGAATTCACTATCAAAAAAATACCACAATTGGATTTCATGCACCGACTTTGCCTACGTACATACTGGCATACAGTGAATAAATTGCGTAGACCTGCGCGAAATTGTGTCGAGACTCGCATTAATTTTCATACCTGTAATTAATATGCGTCAGTACATCCGATTGTCTCCGAAATATTTAAGAGCAGTGATAGACTTAATTTTTGAGCGAACGTCGCGAACCTAAAAAAATATTTCCTTTTTACAGTTAATAAATATAAGGGTTGATGCGAGCATAAAAAAGAGAAAAAGTATTACGTACGATGCAGTCGATTGTAAGAGCTTTGATGACTTTCACGTTTCGATATCGAAACATACCGGCCTATTATAAGCGAGAAAAAAAGACGATCCGCTATTCGACCTCATCGTCATTTACAGTTGGAAATAATCAAAGCCAAATCCAGATTGAAATCTAAAGATAGTACCGTAGAGTTTGCGTACTTTTCCGTCTTTCACTTTCTTTGTTGTCCTGGTGGCAAAGGTTATTCAATGGCAAAAAAGGCAGACGCAATTATTCGACACGCGTGATTCGATACACGAAAGTGTAAGTTCTAATGACTCAAT